TATATATATATATATATATGTGTTTTTTTTGTATCTTTGTATCTATATATCTATCGAAAAACAAAAGGAAACAGGGGGGCGCCAACTTCCCCAAAATGATACCTTCACTCCCTGGCGGAGAACAACAAAAAAAAAGAAATTACAACAAAGGAAGAAAAAAAAAGTGAGTAGCCACCAAACGCCAAAACGCCTTGCAAATGTGAAAAATGGACAATCAGAGAAAAAAAAATCGAAAAAAATTATAACTTCCTTTGACAATAAAGGTGTTTGCTTCGGTGTCTTCGTGCGCCTATATTTATCTGTTCACTCATCTTTAATTAGTTCCTATTCCTGCGCACGGGTCATTCTTTCGTTGTGCCCCCTCCCTCCTTCCCTCCCCTTCTGCCAGCTGCCCCTCGCCTCGGTGACGAATGTGGTATTTGTCTTCTCCTCTCCAGGCGGGACCCTAAAGGGGGACAAAAGTCATAGTCTTGCGCAGTGCGACTCCCAGTGCTGTAAATCCGGGGTTTGCCGCAGTTGCGTATTATTATTATTTTCTTTTTTTTTTTCCTTTTCTTTTTTTTTGTGTGTTTGTGTGTGTGTGGTGGGTCCTCCTTCATGGTTCGCTTCACGCTGGTTGGTTCCCTCCGCAATGCTTTTCTCATTTGCTTCGGGATTTCTTCTTTCACGGTGATTGCCAATAATCACGGCCGTGGTATGTGTAGTTGTATAGGGAATTTTTTTTTCTGCCTTTTCACGCACGTGTTCTACCTCGCTGCGGCTGGATGGCGTTTGCTGCTGCATCCTCTGGTGAGTGGGTTGACGCATCGGCCAATACTCACCCGTCGCTCGCGTCATTTGCACTCCTCGCGTGGCGCGCCTCACATATCATGAGCCGCACGTACGCGCTGGAGCGTGAAGCGCAGCAGAACGCCTCTTCGGAGGCGACGTGCTTACGTGCTGCTCCAGCTGTGTTGTTTGGGGTGCGTATAAGATCATGCGAGAACGCTGAGGAAGGCTTGCAAAGCGTCGCTCTGGAACGGCCTATGCGGCGCCCTGACGTCCTCGTAAAGTTGATGCAGTCCCCAACAGTAGACGCAGAAGTGGAGACTGACATTTACGATGTAGTGGAGCGTGCTCGCCAGTGTCTACATGACGCTTGCGTGCTTCTTCAGGATTCTTCTTCACGAGGAAGTCCTAAACGGGCATTATCGAGCGGCGAAGCTGATGGTGGTGTTCAATATTCCTCTTCTAGTGGTGTTGATGGGAACAGAGTTGCTGAGAATACGCAGCCTTGCGAAGGTTTGTGCTCTCCAACAAACATGGATGGCACGCAGTGGCATACTGCTCCTATGTACAGCAGTGAAGAGGGCACAAGCGTGTTCAGTGGTGATCCTCAACATCGCATTATTCTTCCGAGAAACCGAGGTACTGTAGGTAGTCTTCAAGAGGCCAAGATGAAGCTACAGTTTGTTATAGGAACAGCATTTTCGTGTCCGTGTGAAGCACTGATGATGGCTTTTCAGTTTGTCATCGCGGAGGCATTGGAGAGATTCCCGCGCCCCATCGAAGCATGTTGCGGGGTCTTGAAGTGCCTCGCTCCGATAGATTTAGCAGATGCTGCAACATCTGCGGCTTCGACAGATGGTACAGGGCGAAAGCCGAAGATGACAGATAGCTTTCTTTACGCCGTTGAAGGCACACCCGTTACATCTAGTTTGGCCGATGTACTCTTGTCTCATAGTGAGGAAGGTACCACGGAGATGAAGTGGTTTGTGTGCCCTTCCCCTGCAGCAGCGTTGCCGAGCCTCGCACGCTTCCTCTCTCGTGAATTACCAGAGGAGCTTGAAGCGTTGCAGGGGACAGGAAGTGCGTATGTGTCTCCCATGTCCTCCCTACCGACTCCGTCTCTCTGCCGCCGGAGAGGTATGGGCTTGTTGAGAAATCGTATGAGGAGCGGCGACGTCTTGGACAAGGAGCAATCAAGTGCAGACGAAGGGGCGAGTGACGATACACCGTCACAGATATTGTGGGACGCCCTCTGCCGTTGTAGTCTTGTTCTCCCACAGTCGGTGTGCGCCAGCCGCCGTGAGGTGCTGTATCACGTATTCACCGAGGTGGGAGAGGTGCCTCAGTATTATCACATCCTTTCCATTTGCCCCGACCTCCTGCGTGCACACCATATTGCGTATCAGTACGTTTTCTTTGAAGAGGGTCCGTTGCCTATATGTGAACGGCTTATGGTCGCCCTTATGACAGCCAGTCGTCAGAAATGTGAATACTTGGTCTGTCGCTTTGGAGCCCTTCTGATGCGTTTCGCCAAGAAGCAGCAGTCCAGTGACATCGAAGCAGAGACGTGGTTACTGCAAGGACCACCACCAAAGCTAAAGGCACTTCAGCGCTTTATTGGCATTTCCACTCATGTTCCCTGGCAAATGACGGAGTATGATATTCGTGAAGCCATGAACGCTGGGTGGAGTGTCCCCGGTCTCATCCAGGTTTCGACCATCGTGGCGGAAACACTCTCCTTGTGTAGCTTTGTAATGGGACTCTTCGTTCCGAATGATGCATGGGCGTTGGTTGCAATACCCACCCCGCTCATGAATTCTCTCTCATCATGCCCGACTCTCGGCCAGGAGCACTCCCACCAAAGCGGTATTGACTTTACGAGATACACCGGCGTCGACAATATTGTTAGTGAAAACCGCATTAAAGGCTCCTCAGGTAACGTCTCTGCGCTGTGGAGTGGAACATTCAACTGGCACGAGCACGGTGGCACCCTTATGGAGCAGTACTATCCGGGAGCTGCAGCACTCATCAGCACGGAACTCGACGCCTTCTCTGCTGTTGTGCGACAGTTAAATCAGTTGGACTGCGTTGGTCTCACAACCCCTGAGTATAAACCTGCCTACGCCTTTCATTCCTTGAAACTGTATGTGCAGAATATCATTGGCTGCATGACAGACGGTTATAAATACAATAGTATAAACCAGGTGCTTCGCCGTCCAGCCAAGTTAATAGCGCAAAGCTGTACCATGCGCCCGGAAACAATGTCGGCCTCTCAAGTACGTTTGTGGGCGCAATCAAGTGGGGACTCTGCAACTGCTTCCAATGATGTTTCCTTGCCGACACAACCCACAGTGGATGCGGTGGAAAAGCAACATCAAGTTGATCAGGGTGCGAAGGAGCAGGAGCAGCAGCTCATCGATTCACTCATTTCTAACCGGGCCCCGTTCACTTTGACTATTCCTGGCGATGCGTCTGGGCGGCGCCAGCAGCCCAAAAAAGAAATCCTAGAAACTTCTCTTCATCTTCATGAGGAGCGACTCATATTTCTTCTTATATTGGCTACAATGGAGGCGCGGAAAGAAGGGTTGCTGTCCCTTCTCCTTTATCCAATCTGGGTGCTCCTTAACAATATGTAGGGGGTGTTGGTAAATTTGGCGAATTTGGGACGTAGGTGCTGAACAGGTGTAGTAATGCCAAGAAAGGGGCAAACTGTGGGGGTGATGTTTGTGAGAGCTTTGCATCTGCTTCTTAAAAGGAGGTGAATGTGAGGAGAAAAAAAAGACTGAGCGAGAAAGAGAGAAAGAGAGAGAGAGAGAGAGAAAAAAAGAGCCGTCTAAAGACCTCTTTTGTATTAGGGCACACAAATACCCCTATCGGGGTGGATTTATCGTGATGCCTCCGTTTTGGTGAGCGGAGATTGTAGAAGATAGGTGATGAGAGCGTCTGTGCAGTGTTGACTCGCCACCCTGCCTTTTCCCCTTTCCTAATGCATGCGGTCGTGTGTATGTGGTGCACTACTCTTTTTTTGGTTCCCGTAGGTTTATGGAAGTGGTTCTGACTGTTTGTGTTTGGCCGGTCATGCGGTGTGTGTATTGTTCTACTATAGGCGCCATCTCCTCTTCTCTCTGGCAGTGCTGTGCGTCCTGAGCTCGGTAGTACCAACCCTTAGCCAGCAGCAGTGAGCGGGACGGGGTCGTGAAGACGTTTAGTCCTGTGAACCACTGTGGGTTGATTCTTCCCCGTTACTTGTTACGCCCTTTTTTTTCTTTCGTTCTGTCTCTTTTTCCCCCTTCCCTGGCGTTAAAGATAAGCTAGTGAATTGAGCACCGGCAGCTATCCACAGCGTGTATCGTCACGTGCTAAAAAAAAAGCGTAAGCTGAGTGGTGGAGTGCGAGAGACTGACACAGGCCAATAGAAAAGGACCAACAGGCACGTCTATATATATATATATCTATATCT